AGGCGGGATGCTGGGGGTGGGGGGTGTGGATTTGTGGGGGGCCGTGGTAGGTCTGGGCTGGTCAGGGCAAAGCCAGCCTGACAGCAAGGCCAGACACTGGGGTGCTCCCCACATCCCATGGATTACCCCACACTGCCAGCACCTTGTGGTGATGCACCCTATGGGGCAGAGGGTGCTGAGGGCTCCCCAGCACGGGGGGGAGGGGAGGGGGAAGGGAGTGTCTCTTATTGCTAATGGCTCCACTGCGGTGACACCCACAGGCTGTGGCAAAAATGGAGGGGGGATTTGCCATGCAACATCCCCAAACCCAGTGTCCTCTGAGCCCTGGCAGCCTCAGCCCAAAGGCTGGGAGCAGAACTGTGGCTCCACTGCGGTGACACCCACAGGCTGTGGCAAAAATGGAGGGGGGATTTGCCATGCAACATCCCCAAACCCAGTGTCCTCTGAGCCCTGGCAGCCTCAGCCCAAAGGCTGGGAGCAGAACTGTCAGTGTGGCAGGGACCAACCAAACCAGGGCACACAGTCCCCTTCCCCCCAGCACCTTTTTGGTGGCAGGTGGTGGTTGTCCTTCTTGCAACAAGGGACCGAGGAAGTGCCACCACAGGTCAGGGTGTGGGCAGAGGCAGGGTGACACACACCCCCACCACCCTCCTGCCCCGATGGTTTCTGGAACAGGGCTGAGCCCTCTCCCCCTGTCCTGGGGCAGCCCTCAGGGTATATGACCAGGGCGAGGGGACAGTTTGGGGTGCGATTTCTCACAATGCTCAGCCAACTCTGGGGCAGCAGGTCCTGGGTGTGTTGGGGAATCCCATGCTAGCTCTCCCTAGGCAGGGCCGGCAGGGAGAAATGGGAGCTGCATCCCCAGGAAGTGCCCAGTGACCTCCTAGGGAGTGCCACTGCCTCCATCTGGCTTGGCCAGCCATCGGTTGACCAACCTACCTCCTGTGTTCTCATCACATCCTGCTGTCCTGCTCACAGCCTGCTGTGTCCTGCCTCATCCCACCACCCTGTTCCTATCTCACCATCCTGCCCCTGCTCCCCCATCCTGGCCCTGTCCCCCTGCCACCCACCCTCCCAAGGAAGGGTCAAACCAATGCTAGGGAGGCTGAGGACTAATGCAGAACCATGTGTGACTGCTGGGCGAAGCCAGGAGCTGGAGCCAGGAGGCAGTGAAACAAAGCCCTTTGCCTTCTCTGGTACCAGACAAAGGGATGAGGCCAATGGCAAAGACGACAAAATCGACCCCAAAGGAGTGAGGGTGGACGTGGAGGATGTCCGTGGGGTGGGTGGGTGCTGGCGGGATGCTGACGGATAGGAGATGGGTCTGGAGACGTCGGCGGCTGGCGTGGACCTCAGCACGATACCTCCATGGTGTGGTTGATCTGCCCCATGGCCTCGGTGCTCTCCGAGTGGGTGCAGGCACGTGGGCGGGTGCCATCCACCGAGCTGGCACTGGTGAGGGATGCCGTGCGGGAGCGTGCCAGGCGGGTCATGCTGGCAGATGGCACTGCAGGGGCAGAGAGAGACAGCCAGGGTGCTCAGCTCCCTCTGAAAGCCAGCAGGACCTGAGCTGACATTGCCTCACGCAAGCAAAGCCGCTGGTCCCGCTCCCTGATGCAAATGACCCCGGGCACAAGCTTGCAGCATGCAGTGCTGTGACAACATGAGCAGTTCCAGGCTGGCAGAGGACAGCGGGGCAGGGACGGGGCACCCTGTGGCAGGCACATCTCCTGGGGATGCAACCACTGGGCATGAGGCAGTGGGGACCCCTGGCCGCCACACTCTGGTGAAGGAGTGAGCAGGGATGGGAGCTCTCCTGGCTCCCCAGGATGTGCAGGGCAGGTGACCCCCTCCTCCAGCCAGGATGCCCAGTGGGCACAGGTCCTGGTCGGCTGGAGGAGGGCACAGTGGGCACACTGCTGAGATGGTGCCCGCATTGTAGGGGGAAGGGACTACTCCGAATGCCATTACTCAGCCCCCAGCCCTGGCTCAGGGTGCCATCTCAGGCAAAGCAGAGTGAGGCAGAGGGCACCTAGCTAGGAAGGGCCAGCCCTGCACCCAGGCTGCTCCCAAAGGTGCCCAGGCAGCTTGAGGGCACAGGCCAGGCAGGCACCATGCAGCAGCGGGCATGGGCTGAGCAGCACTGAGCGGTACCTGTGCCTCCACTCAGCCTCCGATCCTTCAGGTGGGTGACTGGCAGGAGTGGAGAAGGGCAGGGAGGGCAGAGAGAGAACGTCAGCCCTGCCAGCCAGCAGTGGGGCCAGGAGCCCCAGCCCAGCCCCATGTGTGCAGGCACACAGACCCACACGTCCGCACACAGACCTGCACACACACACACTGACACATATGCACGTGCACATGGACCCGCAAACACACACGCATGTATGTACGTGGACCTTCACACACATGCACACACACACACACACACGTGCTGATGGACATATACACACACATATGCCCACAGACTTGTGCACAGCAACCCTGTCTACACACACAGAGGCCTTGTACACATGCCTGTGTGCACACAGTGCCTGTGCAACCCATGCCCCTGCAAACCCACAGATAGACATCTGCAGGCGCAGCCCTCCATCAGGAGGGGCAGGCAGGGGGGCCAGGCTCAGCACACGCACACACAGGCACACATGCTTGTGCACGCACAGGCATGCGCCAGCCCCGTGCCCAGCCCTGGCACTCACTGTAGCCCATGCCTTGCAGGAAGTACTTGAAGGCTTCGGTCAGCTTGCCGGGCTGTGGGAAGAGAGCAGGCTGAGTTGAGGCAGCACCGGGGCCGAGACCCCTGTTCAGCCCCGAGCTGCCTCTGGCAACCCCTGCACAAGACTCCTGTGCCCACCTCAGCCCATCCCCTCCTAGCCAGGGGCAGCACCAGTGCATGTCTCAGGGCCCAGTATACCCAGTTAACTGGGGAAATTCCAGGGGCTTACCTGTGTGACCTGGGGCAGCCCACCACAGTCAGCCATCTGCAGAGAGAGGGTCCTGCTTAAGTCTGGGAGGGTGCCTTTGCCGCCCACCCCGTCCCCTGGTACACACTGGCAGGATGCCACTGTTGGGGCCACCCTGCTCCCCCCTCCTGTCCCCAGCCACATGGCCAAGACAGACATGGAATGGGGAGATGGGGACACCCTGCAGAACTGGGGCAGAGGGCAATGGGGCACTTCATGGGCAGCAGGGACTGCCTGGCCGCCCTCTGCCACCCACCTACCTTCAGGAAGGTGGTGTTGGTGGGATCCAGCTTGGAGTTACACTCCACCTGTGGGCAAGAGGGATGATATTAGCACCCTGGGGTGCCCTGAGCCTGGCAGAAGTTGCCCACGGGTACCACCACTGGCCCATGGCACCCCAGGTGGCACACCCCACCCCAGTCAGGTGGACACAGGGCGCTAGGCCAGCTCTAAGCCTGCAGAACCACCATCCCTTTGCCATGGGACAGGGGGGACCTTCCTCCTGCCAAGCAGTGTCTGAGCAAGGGTTAGGGGCTGGAAAGGGAGGGGAGGCTGGTGAGGCATCCTGTGTATCACACATGCGTGTACAAGCACACAAGTGTGCTCATGTGCATAGAGGTACACGTGCAGGAGGAGGGAAGAGTGCACATGCACTTACATATTATGTACAAACATGGCCACCTGCACAGTACCTGTGACCAATTGTAAAAGTGTGGACAACCACGAGGATGTGTGCAAGCACATGCATGTGCTAGCTGCCATTTGTGTGCACGTGGCCAAGCAGGGAGTGTGCCAACACGTCCAAGTGTGCATGTTGTGAGCACGTCTTGGCATACGAGGAAGGGGAGGTTCTCCAAGGTGTGGCAACCATACACAGACACATGTGCACATGTGTCCACATGAGCAGGGAGATTTGCACAAGAGCACAGTCCCGCACACAGGAGCTCACACATGTCTGAGCAGGCAGCGAACACGAGCGTGTCCATGCATGGGCACCACCTGTGTGCCACCCTGCAGGCACTACCCCATCACTCACCACCCCCTCTTCAGCAGGCGCGTTGTCTCCAACCACCAGCATCACAGGGCAGCTGGAAGCGAGAGGAGGAAGGGGCAGAGTCAGGGCTTGGCCTGGGTGGACTCCACTGCCCTGGATCCTCCCATGCCATGCTGGCACAACTCTTACCGCAGTGTCTTGGCATTGGGCACAGTCCCAGGCCGGTTGATGTCCAGGTCCCTGCGGCTGATGGAGGAGAAAGAGGGCCAGTGTGAGCCCATGGGCAGGTGCTGCCACTAATGTCATAGTGCAAGAGCAAGAGCTCTGGGAAGCAGCATCCAGCCCTGCTGTCCTGGCACCCTGTGGGTGGAGGACTTCATGGCCACCTCAGCCATGACCCGAGCAGAGCCCACGCCGTGGGATGTAGCACCCAGCAGAGTAGCAAGACTCCCAACCCCCTGCGTGCATGGGACAGCATCTCTGCCCCCTTCCCCAGGCCTGTGCCAGTACCCAGCACAGGAGGAGACCAGGGGATGTGCACCCGTGGCCACAGGCTCTGGAACATGGCAAGGCTCTGGTACAGGTGCCACCACTCCAGCATCCCCGGCCAGCTTTGCACCGCTGCCTGCCTGCGCCAGAGGGTGATGGCAGCACCCTACAGTGGTCAGGGTTCCCCTGGTGCCCTCAGGGCCACCCACCAGGACTGCAGCCCCTCACCCTGGCACAGACAGGGCCACTCGGGGTGCTCACCTGTTGTACATGTTGAGGAAGAGCTGGAGGTTGAACTGGTTCACCACACTGCCGATCTGCTGCCGGTAACTCTGCACCAGCTCCGTGTTGTTCACCAGCTCTTCCTGTGCCAGCAGGGGATGGAAATGAGAGCAGGCACTGTTGGGTGCCGCGCAGGACCCCCCATTCCCCATGCCTGCCCATGCCATGCCAGCCAGTGGGGCAGAGGGGGAGGATGCTGGGCAATGTGGCTGGGCACAGAGGTGCTGCAGGCAGCACACCCAGGCAGGATGCGAGCACGAGTCGCACTCATCAAGGCCAAGCCACCGGATCAGGCAGGAGGGATACAGGCAGGGCTTGACTAATCCCATCCCTGGGCATGAGACAGGTCCAGCGGCACTGCGGCACCCGGCAGGCAGGGCAGGGCACAGCCCAGGTGACCCGGCTGGCATGCTGGTCAGTGGGTCGGTGGCAGGGGCCGGCAGGATGCACAGCCCTTACCTGGCTGAACAGGTGGGACAGGACAGTGTCCGGCAGCGTGCTGGTGAGGCCAGAGAGCTGTGGAGGGAGCACAGGGAGTTACAGCACGGCCGTGGCTGGCTCCTGCCCCAGGGACCGACCGGCGCTGGGAGGGTGGGGTTGGGGCCTTGCCCACCTTGGCAGCTGCCCAGTCAATCCAGCCTTTGCCGTTGGGGTCGATATTCATGAGGACCAGTCCTTCAACCAGGTCGGGGAAGATGAGCTGCAGTGAGCAAGAGGGGTGATGCTCAGCAGGACGGGGAGATGCACCCAGGGCAGGCCCCCACCAGCACCGCTGCCCACTGCACAGGCACTGCACGGGGCTGATGTGGCCCTGTCCTGGGAGCGATGGGAGACCTGTGGCAAGACTGCAAGACCACTATGGCCAAGACACTGCTGTCCTGGCCCTCCTGACCCCCAGGAGCCTGCCCGAGGGTGTGAGCTCCTGCTCTTCCCTTTGCCCCAGGCTGACAGCAGGTAGGGGAAACTCAGGACCAGCCCAGCCCAGCCGCAGGCTCACCGCAAACTTGGCCAGCACGTAGGCTCCTGCCCCAACACCGATCCCAATCACGTACTTGAACCTGGAAAGCAAAGGTGCATATGGGGGTACAGTGGGCTCCAGCACAGATTCCCTGGGGCCCACCTCCACCTCCAGCATGGGGCACAAGAAGACATGCAGGGTGCCAGCTTACAGGCACAACTCCCCCAGCCCCAAACCCTTGCCTCCTGCCCAGCTCCCTGCCCAGCACCTTCAGCCAGCAGCTGTGGAGGAGAGGCTGACTCACCCAAAATGCTGCACCACGCTGGGTAACATGGCAGCCAGCTGGTCCATGGATGGGTACTGGTACCTGCGGCACAGGGAGACCCAGGACAGTGGTTATGGGGCCCACACAGAGTGGGAAGGTTGGGACAGGGCAGCTGGGCTGTCTGAAGTGTGCAGAGAAATGCCACCTACCCACAAACCACCCCATTGCCCACCCTGGGCTAGTCGGCTGCCACGGGCTTTGAGATGGTTCAGAGAGACGACAGGCAGGGCACAACTGCCTGGACAGTGACAACCCAGCAGGCAGGGAAGTGACATCCTGGCAGGTGTAGCAAGTCCCCAAAGCTGGCACCTACCCCTGAGGGAACTGCGAGGCTCCTGCCTGTTGGCCCGGCGCATCCACGTGGCACACCACAAAGTGCTTCGTGATCTCCTGCATGTCCTCGTAGTTGAAGAAGGTGTTGAAGCAAAGCTTGTCTGTCAAGGGGCAGACAGGGATCAGAGACCAAACACCCCAGCACGGGGGCCTGGTGGGCCAGGGGAGCATGGAGAGAGGTCACCTGCCCTCCCACTGCCCCTCAACCAGGAGGTGACACGCCACCAAAACCCTTCCACCCCCTTCCCTCCAGGCTCCTCATCCCCACAGCAGAGACCACAGCCACTGTTAGCAAGGGCTGCATCCCTCATGGTGTTGGGAGGCATGAGGATGGACAGATACAGTCAGGAGGATGAGGGGTTTGGGATGAGCCTTGTCTCCTTGGAGAGATGGGACTGGGGGATGCAAAGCCCGGAGCTGCAGGACCACCCAGCAGGCAGCAGGATTAGCAGCCTGGGGTATTATCGGCCCTGTCCAAGATTCCCAGAAAGGGCTCAAGCAAACACGAGATTTGAGAAACAGCTGCAAATCTCCCTGCTTGGAAATAAAGAAACTGCCCCAGTGCTGCTGTGGACAGGCCACCACCACTGCAGTGGGATACAGCCATTGCCAGGGCTTGGAGGGGTCTTGCCCCATGGCATTGGTGCCGGGACATCTCTCCCAAAACATGGGGGCGAGGCAGGTTGTAAGGTCCATCGCAAACAACATGATGCATCCCTGGACACAAGAGTGCTGCTGTGATGGTGAGTCAGCTCACGTAGCATGTTGGTGACTCAGCCTCAGCTGCCAGCGGAGGGGGAGATGCTTCTCCCCGCTTACAGGGCACCGGGCATACCAGCTCAGCAAGTGGGCACAGCCCAGGACAGGGCTCTGGGGTGCAGGCCCAAGGCTGCAGGCTAACAGGGCACAGCATCCCCACATCCAGAGCCCCGGCTCAGAGTCCCTCCTTCCGTGCTATTCCCCGCCTCCTCCAGCCCTGACTACACCCCGCTGCCAGCCAAGTCCGTGCTCTGAATACCAACAGGCAGCGGGGACCAACCCAGCATCCCCAGCATCCCGACCCTGCCTGGCGTGGGCAGGTGGACAGCCAGCACTGGGGTGTCCAAGCACTCCTGGCTGTGCCTGGCCTGGGCTTTAGGTTCGGCTGGCATGTAGTGATAGGATGAGGGGGAATGGCTTTAAACTGGAAGAGGGCCGGTTTAGCTTAAACATTAGGAAGAAATTTTTCACTCTGAGGGTTGTAAGGCACTGGAACAAGTTGCCCAGAGAAGTTGTTGAGGCCCCATCCCTGGAGGTGTTTAAGGCCAGGCTGGACGTGGCCTTGGGCAACCTGGTCTATGGCAGGGGGGGTGGGACTCGATGATCTTCTAGGTCGCTTCCAACTTAAACCATTCTATGATTCTATGATCCAAACCCTTCTGGTGCTTTCAGATGTTTGGGGAGATCCAGTGAAGCCTAGGGACCCGCCATGGGAGGAGGCAAAGGAGCTGAGCCAGGGCCTTTGGCTAACATCCCGGCACTGCATACAGTCCCAAGCTCACTCCTGCCCTGCCCCTGTGCCCCATGGCCCAGGGACCAGCACTCACGGTTGAGGCCCACATCATGGTATGTCAGGATGGCCGGGCGATTCCCCTTTGGCGAGCCCCGGATGACCACGTGCAGCAGCCCGTAGGGGGTCTCAATGTCATGTTCCTGGGGGAAAGGGAGAGATCAGGTGACGCCTGCCTGCCCCAAGATATCCTCTCCTGTCCTGCCATCCCACCATTCACCGCTGCTTCCCCCGGAGGGCTGGGTCCCATAGGAGCACCAGGGAAAGAAGAGCACCCATCCTGGGAAAACCTCCAGCATTGGGCATCTTGGCCATGGCAGAAGGCGGGGCAAATCACACACAAATGCTCCCAGCCTCCACGGGAAGGGAAGGGAAGGGAAGGGAAGGGGAAGGACAAGGTGGGACAGGAGGTCTTTGAGGGCCCAAGCTTTGGCAACAGGGTGGGAGGATCACAACATGGCCCAGTTGACCTGGATTCACTGTGCCTGGGACAAACAGGCAGAGGTCAGACCCCGGACATCGCCCCAAGAAACACTGCAGCCTGGTTCCAAAATGACAGCTAAAATAACTTTAAAATCTCTTGGTCTGAAATGGCTCTGCCCCCACACAGAGACCAGGACTGCCCCATGCCTCAGTTTCCCTGGCTGGGAGGGCTCCAGCCTTGCCTTCATGGCCATGGGCCCCAGCCAGCAAGGGAAACTGAGGCTGTGAAGCCAGGTGCTGGCCAAGGCATCATCTAGGGACAAGGGACCAGGGTTCCCCCCCAGATGCCCATGCCTGCCAGCCAGCCCACTGGCAATGACCTCGAAGCTGGGATCAGGTGGGTGCAGGAGCATCACGCGACGAGCAGGGCTGGGCAGGGGATGCTGGCAGGGTGCCCAATTGGCATGGTCCTTGCCATAGGTACTAGCGCCCCCATGGATGGCCTGGCAGTAGGGGAGGGGGTACGTGGGTGCTCCCGTGGGTTACACACCACCAAGGACTCTGAAGGACATATGGGCCTCAGGTAGGAGGAACTGTCTGAGGACAGGGTCTCCTCACTGCAGTGCCTCCTCACCGAGATTCGCTGTCCCTGGGGGGATGCAATGCCCAAGGGCAGCTCACAGGCTCTGTGGAGACAACACTCGGCTCCCCAAGGGCACCTCGGCTCTAGCCCTCATCCACAGCTGTCCCTCCAGTCCCCGGGGCTGTATCAGGCAGCTGGCAATAAGTAGGGACATCCCCTCACAACAAACGATGGGGAACCTGAGGCAGAGGAAGGGCCTGGCCCAAGGTCACTGAGCAGGAGGCATCCATGTGGTCTGATCCTGGGAACAGGGCTGCCTCCTTGCCATGCCCATGCCCACGGTCCTCATCACAGCCCCAACAGCTCAGCCTGCAATCCCACCCCAAAAATCACATGCCCAAGGTGGCAGCTCCTTCCCCAGCACTGCTCCCCCGCCTCTGCCAAGCCAGGCGCACCCTTGCCCGTGGTGCAGCCCCTGCAGCATCGCTGGGTATCGCAGCCCTGCCCTTTGCTGCAGGGATGCTCGCTCTGGGGGAGAGGCTAGGGATGCAGAGGATGCAGGCAGCAGGGAGGCGGGGGGGCACTGACAACCCATGGCCCCAGCAAGGAAGGGTGCAGGGGTTGCAACACCTATAGGTGCCTGAGAGAGCCCAGCCCTGCCCAGGTTACCTGCTAACCGCTGCAGTGCTCCCGCCTTGCTTACCTCCCCCACCCTCCACACCAGCCTGTTGCCATCGGGTGTTGCCATCCACTGCAGAGGCCAGAAAGCATCCAAGAGATTGCTTCAAAACAGCAAGAGACCCTCTCCCTCTGCAACTCTGGGGGTGGGGAAGGGGCAGTGTTCCCCCCCTCCTCCCCGCCAGGTCCTCATCACAGCCCCAACAGCTCAGCCTGCAATCCCACCCCAAAAATCACATGCCCAAGGTGGCAGCTCCTTCCCCAGCACTGCTCCCCCGCCTCTGCCAAGCCAGGCGCACCCTTGCCCGTGGTGCAGCCCCTGCAGCATCGCTGGGTATCGCAGCCCTGCCCTTTGCTGCAGGGATGCTCGCTCTGGGGGAGAGGCTAGGGATGCAGAGGATGCAGGCAGCAGGGAGGCGGGGGGGCACTGACAACCCATGGCCCCAGCAAGGAAGGGTGCAGGGGTTGCAACACCTATAGGTGCCTGAGAGAGCCCAGCCCTGCCCAGGTTACCTGCTTACCGCTGCAGTGCTCCCGCCTTGCTTACCTCCCCCACCCTCCACACCAGCCTGTTGCCATCGGGTGTTGCCATCCACTGCAGAGGCCAGAAAGCATCCAAGAGATTGCTTCAAAACAGCAAGAGACCCTCTCCCTCTGCAACTCTGGGGGTGGGGAAGGGGCAGTGTTCCCCCCCTCCTCCCCGCCATCAGCAGTCAGCCCCAGCCGCTGCAGCTGCGCTTACTCACCCTCAGCCTCAGCGCAGCATCTCTGCTGTGCTCAGGGACGACATGCTCAAGGACAACGCGTCCCCAAAACATGCGGCAAGTCAGAGATGCGGCAGCGGGGCTGGGGGAAGGAAGAGCTCCCCAGCAGCAGGTCCACCCCACACCAACACCTGCCTGACCCACACCAAGCCCTCCTGGGTGCAAAGGTCCAGCCCGGGTGAGCAGGGGCAGTACTGAGGCAAAACTCCCTGGGAAAGGAGGGCAGCAAGCACCGGAACGGTGGTACCTACCCCATCCCAGCACTCAGGCATGGTGAGGAACTGGGTGGACGAAGATGCGTGGGCAGGGTGGGCCGAGCACGGGGTCCTGGCGTGGGGCACAGTGGCGCAGCAGTGAAGCAGAGCTCTGCGCTGGCTCAGCCCCTTGCCTCGCTTTATAGCGGAGCCCCAGCCCTGCGCTAAGCCCTCCCTCTCCCTTCCCCCTCGACGCGACACGCAGCCCGGCAGGTTTGGCCTCCATTGCGGGCAAGCACTGCGATGGAGCCAGCACTCAGCCATTGGCTGCCGTGGGAATTATTCATGCTCCAATTGGCCCCAAATACCCTTGTTTATGAAGAAAAAAAGCCTGGCACAGTGCGGTACCTGCTCCATCTTCCCTCTTTCAGCAGACCGAGACAGGCAGGGCTGCCTGGACAGGGTTGCACTTGCAACACACACAGAGCATCATCACGGCAGAGACCCGCACCGCTTGCCTGCACCCGTCACGCACACGCACATGGCTCCAGCCCCACGCAAACACACAGAATCATGCTGGAGCCTGCAGCCACCCAGACCAAAGCCCTGCAGCAACACACACGCACCAGGAAGCACACACGCACCCATGACCAGACACGGGCACGTGCTAAACACACAGGAGAAGGACGCAGCAGCCGTGCTCTGCACATGCACATGACCATGCACATACATGCACAGCAACAGTACCGACACAGACACACAGGAGCAAGGCAAAACAGTGTCCCCTCACACGTCTGTCCGTGCAGACTTTGGAAAAATAAATACAATGACCCACGCTGAAGCACATGCACACCCTCCCACCACCCCCCCAAAATGTTTGCGGGTACTGTCACAGGGCTGGCCCCTGTGTGTCTGTGTCAGTACATGTTCCTGTACATGTATGGGCACGGTCACGTGCATGTAAGGAGCACGCCTGCTGTGTCCTTCTTTTGTGTGTTTAGCATGTATGCCATCACCATCGCTTATGCGCATGGATGCACCAATGACCTGCACACAGGCAGAACCTTGTGCACATGTGCACGGACAGTCACATGCTTGTGCACACATGAACACTGCCCAGACACCTGTGGTACCTTACCCAGTAGCACAGTCATCCTGCCTGCTGCAGGATGCTGGCATGCCAGGGATGTGCCCTGACCCGCATGTTGCCAGCGGCAAGTAAATCAGGCAGGAGGAAAGACAACCCAGCAATGCCATGGGGTCGGATCCCGTCCCTGAGCTGATGCATGCTGTGTGTGCACACGCATGTGTATTCCCGTGTGCACATGTGTGCAGGCAGATGGTTTCTGCCTTGATTCCAATGAGGCTTTGTGAGAGGGTGAGTCTGCCTACAGCTCACACCCACGGATGGCCCCAAACCCCCCCGGTAGGCTCTGGGTACCATCCCCCAGCACCCTGCCTGCCCCTGCCCAGCCCAGCACCATTGCCTGGCTCGGCACAACCACGACCCGAGCTGCTCCAGCAAAAAGCTGGGCAATCATGGACGGAAAAAGAATCCGGCAGTCCTGCTCAAAGGGGCTGGAGAGCCACATGTCAGTGCTGGACCAGGGCAGTATCCAGCAGGATCCAGCCTGCCTCGCACAGGGATGCTCCATGCCAGCTGGAGCTGCATCATCCCCACCCTGGCACCTCGCCACGGTTCGCCTCTGCCATGCCCTGACACACACCTCAGCCATGGGCAGAGGGGCTCCGGCTGCCATCATCAACACACACACCTCAGCGTCACCCAGCAGGCTTGTTCCTGTGGAGTCTTTGATGTCTAATAACAGGGCTGAGCTGCTTTTCCCTGGGGAGAGCCCTTTCCCTGAGCTGGACAAACAACCACCCAGAGCTGGTGGGGAGCTACTGAAAGCAGTGTCCTGCTGGGGCTGGGCGGCCAGGGGGTCTCCTGGGAGAAAGGATGGACAGACAGGCAGCGAGAGGATGGCATCCACCTTGCCTCCACCAAAGAGGCTCTCCTCTGCACCGCTTTGTCCTGCAGGGAGCTCAGCCCCAAGCCTGAAGAAATACATCTCTGGTAATGAAGGATGGCATATGAGGGGAAGCCCAGCTTCCAGGTGGTTTCTGGCCCAGGTACAAAGCCGTTCACAGCTCTGGGTGCCATTTTTGCTTTCCTCAGCCCTGCTACATGTGGCGCCAAAGAGCATGAACAGCCACAGCCTCCATGAAAAAGTGTGATGCAAAGGGGCATGAGCAGACAAAAAAGGAGACAGAAGGTGGCAAAATAGAAGGGAGAAGGGGTGGAAAAGCTGAGGAGAAGTAAAGGCATGAATGGAAAAGGGGGGCAGGGAGATAGGAGGGCTGAGCAAGGCTGACTCCGCTTGAATGGCATCAAATGGCATCGCTACCCCATTGGCTACTAGCCCATCTGCCTGGCAGGTGGCCCAGACCTCCAGCAGAGCCAGGGTGCCCAGGTTCTGCCCTCTGCCCCCAGCACTCCTGCACCCTGGCTTATGCCAGCAGCCCCAAGGGTTCCCCGTGGGTTCCTTGCTGCCCCTCCCCGCTGCCCCGGCCAACATCTTGGCAAGGGAACAGTGACTGGCTCTGGGGAGGACCAGAGGGACAGTGAAGAACTAAGCTGGGGGCTGGATTGAATTACCCCAAGGAGGTGAGCCTAGAAAATGGGGTAAGAGCTCCCAGAGGAAAGGCAGGCAGTCCTCAGCCTTTGCTGTGAACCAACCTGCAAAGTGCCGGGGTGGGGGAAAGAAGGGGGTTGCCCTGGCACAGCCTGGGAAGTTGATCCCATCCCCACCCTGAGGTTCTTGGAGGGGAACCAAGAGGGCGCAGGGCCTGGCTGGTTTGGGAAAAGCCACGTTGATCCTTGCCCAGTTCATTTTAGGTACCGAGGGCATGCGGGCACATGGCTGTGGCATTTGCCATCCGGACCCACGCCACCTGCTGCCCAGCAGGGACAAAATTCAGCATCACCCTGAAATATTGATATGCAAAGATTGTCGTGGAAGAGTCATTGCTCTTTAACATCCCCTGCATGCCAACCAAGCCCTGCGCCCCAGCACAGCTGAGTGAGAGCCCTACCAGGATCTCCAGGCAGCCGGCACTGCTGCCTCCCTCTCCCTCCTTGGCCTCACTTCGGTGACACCAGGAGGTTTGGGTTCCCCTCCAGTGGTCAACAGGGACCCTGAGCAAGCCGAGCAAGGAGCAGCCCAGACATGCACACCCTGCAGCTCACGGACCCAGCATCTTGCCAGCTTTGGAGCTGCCAGGAAGGGTGGCATTTCTTTCCCTCCACTGCCATTTTTGAATAATTTTGTGGCCTCCAAGAGGCCTGTCAGAAATCTCCTACCCTGCGAATCACAGCAGCCACCGCCCATCATCCTGGCGAACGTCCTTGCTGCCTGCCTGGCTGCACCCTGCCACCCACATGGGTGATGGAGATGGAGCAGGCCAGCCCCAAAAGCCTGGGCACCACTTTGGGTCTGCCCAAACGGGAACCCGGGCTCCCCTTCCCCTCTCTCAGGATGAATGAAATCCAGATTTGTTTTATCCTTGGAGGTGCTGTTGTTTCAGTGCTGGATCTGGCAGGGCTCAGCCACCACCACCCGAGCCCACCCTCCTGGTGGTCTCAGCCACTGGCAAAGCAGCAATATACAACCTGAAGTCGGTCACTGGTGTCCCCTGGGAGGTGGGATGCTTTGAGAGAGGGACAGGCAGCCAGCTGGGGTCTGGCACCCCCACGACCCTCCCTGCTCATCTACGGGGGATGGGCAGAGCCCAGTCTCTGCGGGGCAAGCCTGGTGCGGGATGAGCTTGGGCGGAGGTGTGAGAGTGACGAAGATCAACACGTAGAGCCCCTGTGAGCCCCAAAGCCATGTCACAGGGCTCCTGTAGAGAGGAAATAGGGAGGTACGAGGCAGGCAGGTGCCAGTCAGGGAAGCAGAGGAGCCCTGCTCTCCGAGAGAGGCGGGTGGTATGGGGGGGCAATGCCCCAGACCTCCAAAAAAGAAAGAGGCTTTCAAACATCCTTATGTAAGTGGGGAGCTGGCATCGCCTGGGAAACCATTGCCATGGCAATGGCAGAGGGGCTGGAAAAGCAGGTCAGCCCTCCTGAGAAGAAATTGCCTGTTCTAAAGAGGTTTTGTCCCCGGCCTGTCGCCAAGTGCCCACCAGCCACATCCGAGCACCAGCACAGAGCATGCCTGGCAGCGTGTCCCCGCCTGTTCCTTCCTGCCAGGTACCACAATGGCCATGCAGCCCCATTGCACAGACACCAACCAGACACTGCAACCCCATGGAAGCCAGGGGGACGGCAACACCCTTGGGTCCACTCAGCACCCCTCAGCCTTCCCCAGCCTCAGGCTGCTGTCCCAGGCAGGACCCAGGGGTTGGGTGCACCCACTGTGGCCGAACCTACCTTCCAGTCTGTGTCCACAGTGGAGAGGAAGACATCCGAGTTCTCCTGGGGAGAGAAGGAGCTGCTAGGGACAGAGACATTCCCCCACTGATCCTCATTCTCGCAGCGCCCTCCTCCCACCCAACACAGGAAGCCCCTGGACACCACAAGCACCCACTCCCCGGGGCATACACCATCACACCAAACCAGAACCCATGCTCACCCATGCATGCGCATCAATACCAGCACATCTGCACACACAGATGCACGGAATACCAATACATGTGCACAAACGTGTACCCAATGCCAGCACATCATCCCCCAAGCTCCCACTTAAGTCCATGCATCCCAGCACCCAAGTGCAGAAGCCAGAGCCAGTGTGGTCACCAGACTCACCAGCTCAGCATCCTGGCCCCGCAGCAGCGGCTTCTCCTCGGTGAAGCGCAGCTCATGCAGCCCTGCCATGGTCATCTCCTGCAGCAGCAGCCCTGCCCAGTGCGAGGAAGATGTCAGAACCCATGGGGACCTGCCTTGGTCCCCTTTGCCCCAGCCCCCTGGAACATCCTGGGTCTGCCCATGGGGACAGGACCCAAAGCAGCTTCACTCCACCCATCTACCACTGGGGCTTGGTGCTTCGGCTTGTCCGGGGGTTGCAGCAAGCCCCTCCACTGGGAGCTGGAAGCAGGCGCAGGGCAGGCAGTGCCTGGAGGAGCTCAGCTCCCAGCTCCCACCCACATCCAGTTCTGCCAGTTAAGGACAGACCTGTCTTCGGCAAACTGAGAGACCAACCTGGTCTGTCCATGCTGGTCACCAGTGAAGCACTAAACTAAGAATATCCCAATTCCCAACCTAGCTTCCAGCTTTGGTCAGTGCGAGAAAATCCAACGTTTTGGCTGGTTTTAGGCTGCAGACAGAGGAACAAAGGGACCAAGGGACAGAGGAAACGAGGGACAGAGAGAAATGTTCCTGCACAGCCAGAACGAGGGGTGATGTTTCTCAGCCATGCTGGGAGGCAGAGGGATGCTCTGAGCTGCAGTGGAGCAGAGACACAGGCTGAAGTTTGTATTGTAATGATGGGAGAAAACCAAATGTGAAGCCTTTACTCCTGAAGTCTTCTCCTTGCCTGCCAAGCAGGTGCTGGCCAGCCAGCAGCTTAGCCCCAGGGCTGGCAGGGCCAGACATCACCCTCAAGCCACCACTCAGCAGAGGTGTTAGACTGGATGCTGCTGGCCAGGGCACCAGAACTTGGTACCCCCGCCCCCCTCCTCCTCCAACACCAGCACCTCCAAAAACCCCCAGGCGCAAGCCCAGCTTCAAAGGCAGAGGGGAGCAAGGGGATGCCTGTACACTCAGCAGCTGGCTGCACATAGAAGGTGACAGATGTGGGGGATACGGGGGACAATGCAGGCTCCTCTGCGTATAGATGGGGCGGGTAACTGGCAGGTCCAAAGGGGATGATCTGCACTCAGGCAGCATCTGGACCTCAGGCGTTTGCATTTGCAGCCTCCGTTTCCTCCCCTTTCCCCAAGGCCAAGCCAAGTTGTCGCTGCTCCAAATGGGCCAGCACTGGTCCCACGCCCCCACCACTGGCTACCCACATTCTCCTCAAGGACGATATGGGGCCGTCCTAGCACCGCAGCACACACGGACCCCACTCCATCCACAGCCTCAGCAAAGCCTGCTCCACGGTTTGTCCACCTTCAAACTTGGGTCAGCCCGGGTTGGTGATGTGGAAAGGCCAAGCAACGCCACGAGCTTTGCAAGGCCACCAGGAATACGGGAGCTGGTCATGGACTTCCCTCCAAAGCTGGCTTTTGCTCATCTGACCAGGTTTTCCATTCAAAGACCAAGCAGGCTGTGCCACCTGGCTGCTTTCTGCAGCCACTGCACTTTGCTTTGCTCCTTGGGAGCCATCCAACAAACCAGAACCATCTGGAGGCAGAAACGCCACCTCCAAGCCTCCCAGGAGTCCCAGCAATAGGGTTCCCTACATCACCCCCTGCATGGAGGGTCCCAGAGAGGAGAGGCGCCACCAGCCGTGCCACCAGCCTCATGGAGAGGCACGTGTCTGGGGTGTGCTGCTCCAGGCCAGGCTGCTGCTGGGGAAATGGCTTTGCATGCAGGGCCACCCCTTGCCTGCAGCCCACCATCACAGCCGAGCCGATGCAGCCCACAGAGCCACTGACTGAGCAACCCTGCTGTCCCCTGGGGCGCGATCCCGGGGTTGAAAAATGGGAGGAAAATCAGCCTCACCGGTAGCCAGATCCGGAAGAGAGCAGGAGTGTCCCACGCTGACCACCCCAACCCAGCGTGTGGGCGCAGCCCCAGGGCGGCTGGGAACAGCACTTAGCATACGGTGAATGCCTTTATTAATTAAAGCCTCCAGCTAACATGGGAGGGAGGGTGGCCGAGCAATGAGGAAAGGCCCTGTGACTTTACTTGTGTGGTGGGCAGAAAGCTGGCTCACGAGGGACATGGCAGAGCCCTGTGCCATCCAGCATCCTGAGCGCGGGGTGGACAGTCACCTAAAGTGGTGCTTAGCACGGGAACAGAGGAGGGATGGGTATGTCGGGGAGTCCCATGGGTGCAACAGCCTGCGAGCAGGACCACAGCCACGCTGCCAGGAGTGCTCTGCTTCCCGTGCCACCCCACAGGTACCCTTGTCCCTGCTCCCGCCAGCACAGCAGTGGGACTGTGGGGCAGTGTCACCCAGCATGGCTGGGCCACCATCACTGCAGAGGGCTGGTGAGGAAGCCCCAGCTCCGGGTCTCCTAGCCAGAACAACTCGCCTCTCATCGCACACTGGGGCAATGTGGCTGGCAATGAGCCCTTTTCCCTGCAGCTGGCCCCAATGGTCCCCAACGCCACCCAGCTCTGCTCCCACTCTGCCTGCCTGGCGGGGTGCCACCATTTCCTGGGCACAGCTGGGATGAGACTCCTCCCAAATCCCAAATCAGTCCCAAACCTGGCGCAACATTAGTGCTCTGTTTGGGACTAGTGCTCTGCCCTGCCGGGGCTCTGGCACTGCATGTACAGCCAGGGACACTGGCACACCTTCCCCAGGGTCGGCTTATTGGAGGAGAACCAGCTCGTGGCAAGGAAATACACTATTATCATCATTATTATTATTGTTATTATCATCATCATGACAAGGCTGGGGGAAGGGTTTAACACTGGGCAGCGCATCTGGTTGGAAGGCAGGGGTCCCTCGGATGATGCACCAGCCTGACAGGAGTCTCACCCACTGAGTACCTTTGTCTGGCCCTGGCGCGGCTGTGGCACCCAGGGGATATCGGCAGGGATTGTCTCAGCTGTGTGTGACAGACAGGGAGGCAAATCCCGAGGAGTGAGGGCTGGCCCCTGCCAGGCGCCCAAGCCAAGGCGACTTCCAGGGAGGTGGGGAGAGGAAAGAAGGGAACCTGCAGCCCACTCCAAGACACAAAAGAGCACCCACAGCATCACCCCCCGAGCAGGACCGCTGAGGAGCCTCCACGGGCTGGAGGAAAACCCCAATGC